CCCCACTAAGTAATGCATTAATTGTTGGGGACCACTTGTAAGTATAAAATCATGATGACCTGACAAGCCGAGCTCAGCAACCAATCAAGAGGTGCCATTGGCGTACCTTCCCAGCTCGGTATTGTAGCCGATGTGACGTGGGAGGGCCAAGTTACTTGATTAGATGCCTATAAATAGAGGCTATTGGAAGTAGAAAAGGGATCCCCGAATACTTTACTTCAATTAATACAAGCATTATCATTCTCCCCACTATCCAAGAAGCTAAAATTACTCCCGCTCGACCTCATCGTGAGCTATTTTTATCAACCTCAAAGAACCGATGAAGAGTAAACAGAAAGCCTTGTAGATAACCTATTTTTGGAGGCCAATTGGCTGTTTTGCGAACCTATAAACATGACTAAATGGTTCCCTAATGGGAGGTAGGAAGGACATACAATATATATTCTACAAGTTTTTCTTTGTAATACATATTTTTCTCTTTTTCTACTATTTCAGCAATTTACCTCTCACAAATCATCAATTAAGTTGGCTTGAATTTTGTCCATACAATTTTCGACGTCAACATCCTTCATTTTTTGATCTATGAAAAGAATTTTGAATATAATCTTAAATTGAAAGGATAGGAATTGAAGATTTTTTTCTTATTCTTCTTTGAAGAAGAATCCATACCTCTCAAATTCTTCTCTCAACTTTGTTCACCAGAAACTCTCCGGTTAAGAAATCTGCAAGAAAGTTTGATTTACGTTGTATTTATATAATTTCAAATCAAAGCAAAATTTGTTTTGGAACAAGGTTTTTACGTCTTTTTATAAAACGTCATTTGATACTTTCCAATTTGTTTTAAAACAATTTTTTATTGATTTAATTGTCTTGAGATTTTGAAAAGCATAATACAATAGCTAAAATTTCTTTTTTTGGTAGTGAAATAATTTCTTTGAGGACTAATCCAAACAGTAAAATGGAATCTAATCAGCTGTTCTTGATTAGACTTGACAGGGATTTGCTTTAAGACTCCACCAAAGCCTATATCGGACGCATCAGTCTCTACAATAATAGAGGCGATGGGGGTCTAAGATTGAAAGATATGGGGCATGTTTGGGCCTGATTAAAATCTGATTTTAATCTAAGTTAAAGTCAAACAATTAATATTGACTACATCTTTCATGGGTCTCACTTATTTTCAACCACACATTTTCAAAAACGTCTATCACAATCCACTAAAAATCTAATTTTAATCTCCACTAAACACCCTCATGGATACTTTTAACAGTATCTTTAACTTTTCGTACAGCTAAAGTGTACTTATGACTCCAGGGAAGCGAATTCTTTTGTAGTCTTTTGAAAGGAGGGGCACATATGATCTTTACCTCTTTGATAACGTCGGTCACATAATTGACATAGCCTAAAAATCATTGCAAACTTGATTTTTCTAAGATTTCATCGGAAAATTTTTTGGTGAAATCAAGACTTCTTTAAATTGGAGTAACAGTTCATAAATGAATGTTTTGTCCTAGAAACCTAATGCTTGTTTGACAGAGAATAATGTTCTTAGTAGAAACTGCTAAACCATTATTTTTGAAAACATGAATGAATGTGTCAATATGGTTGAAATGTTGTTTTATAATTTCTGAAAATAAAATAACATCATCAATGTAAATAATAATGAAATTTTAAAAATGATTGAAAATATCATTCATAACTTTTTGAAATTCAGAATGAGCGTTTTTTATACCGAATGACATAACATTCCATTCATATTGGCCAAAGGAACATTGAATGTTATCTTGTATCTATCTTCTTCTTCAATTTATATATGCCAAAATCCTGACTTTATACTAAATTTTGAGAAGATAACGTCTTTGAACAATCTATTTAACAGATCTTTCTTTTGAGGTAATGTATATCTAATCCATTGAAGAGCATTATTGAGAGATTTATAATGAATAACCAAATGAGGAGCACCTCTTTCGATTTCAACAGAGTTATTGACATAAAATGCCGGACAACTTCAAGGAGATTTACTTGGACAAATAAGCTTCTTATTCAGTAAATCATTGATTTCCTTAATACAATGATCAAGTAATTTCTTGTTCATTTCAATATGACGAGATTTTGTTGAAATGTTTGAAGTAAAATCAGAATTATATAGAAGGGAAACAACGTGTTTCTTTCTATTCCAAAAAATATTTGGAATAGTGGAATATATTTATTCTTCAATTTTCTTTTGAAATAAAGAAATATTTTCAACAATTGAAGGATTTTTTTAATTTTCATTTTGAAACATTTCATTTGTTTCTCTAATGAAGCAATTTGAGATTTCACTTCATTAACTTCGTGCTTCCATTTAGAATATGAAGATTTTGAACAAGTGGTTTTTGAAGAACCTTCTTCCTTAAATCGATTTAATATGTTATTCATATTAAATGGAGCAACATGAGTTTTTGAAGGCAATACATAAGAGAACTTATTCTTTAATTGAGGGTTTTCAATTTTCTCTGTTATTTCTTAAATGAGTTCTTCTTCTTTGGTTAGAACGTTTATAGTTCAGCAATCATAAACTCTTTTACTTTGACTTGAAGTAGAAGAGGAATTTGAATTGGTCTCATCATTATAATCTTCTTGATGTTGATAGACCATCTCAAGTTCATGGTCAGAATCTTCATCACC